CCCTACAACTACAAATGCTTCCAGTGTCCCTTCACCTGCATGGAGAAGTCCCACCTGTACAACCACATGAAGTACAGTCTGTGCAAAAACTCCCTGTCTCTGCTCATAGAGTCAGACTGGCCTTATAAGAAGGGCAACATCCTGCACCCGGACCAGCTCCGACCCTTTCAGCAGGCGCACGGCCTCCAGGCTCCCGGGAAAGACGAGCTGGAGCAGGKGACACGGACCATCGAGAGACAGAGGCTGCGGAGGAACGTGGAGGAGGAAGGGGAGGACAGAGAAAACCAGGGACTTGAGGAGGAAGAGGAGGGAGGACAAGGTGAGGGAGCAGAGAGCGCCGGCCTGGTGAAAGAGAGCTCGAATAACAGCCGGAGTAGAGGAGAAGCTACAGAGTGCATCGCCAAGAAAACCAAACAGCCAGAGTCAGAACTTCTGATGGCTGACATGCTCTCCCTAGAAGATCAGCTCCTACGGGCTCGCTCAGTGGAAGTAGAGGCCCAGCTAAAACACTACAAGTTATCCAAGGCGTGTCTGACAGCACCCGGGCTGCTCTCGGAGCAGTGGCGGCTGTTAGCCTCCAGCCACACGAAGGCCAAATCTGAAGGAGCTCAGCCCAGAGTGAGCAGCTCGATTCCCTGTTACCCTCCGCCCCCGAACCTGGTTGATTACCAGGATCCCACTGGACTCAATCTGTCAGTGCTCGGGGTGGGCTATCCCATCAGCCCCAGCCTCTTCTCCTACATGAACTCAGCCATTTCCAGCCCTGCCGGGGGTGTGACAGCCCAGACCCACGCTCAGCTCGCCCAGCTTCCCTTCCTGGCGTCAGCGGCCCAGCTGATGCACCCAGCCTCCGGCACGCACGCAGACAGGGCTCTCATCCCCCCTCGCCTCTACTACCCATTTCTGTGTGAGCACACGTTCGGACAGGCCTCCGGTCAGAGCGATGCCAGCAAAGCGCTCAAGACGCCCACAAACAGTCTCGAAACAAATCCCCTGTCTGGCTTCCAGCCTAAAGTCAATCTGTGGAAAGTGCCAGCTCTGCGGCCTGGCACCACTGCTGGCTCCACGACTGGCTGGGTGTCACCTCAGAGAGACGCCCTCGACCAGGGCTACAGGCCGGGGGATAAAGTCCAGGCTGCAGCCAAAGAAAGCAAAGCGAGCTGGGGCCTGAAGAGGACGGGGGCCCCATTAGGGAACCATGAGGCACCTGTGGAGAAGAAGCCGGCAGTGGGCTTCACTCTGGAACTCCTGAAGAATATTCAGACTGCATCGACTCTGAACATGACTGCAGACAAACTTCCTTTCCAGAACAGGTAAATCCTTTTCCCTTTTTTATGATAATTATTGTGACAAGTAAAAAGAGCATCATAATTAGTTTTACCATAATATCTGCAGAGATTCTAGGAGGTAGGAGTCTTTTCTGTATAACTTTGATAGATGTCTAGTTTGAAAATATCTAAATTACTCCAATCCTCAGTTTACAGGATGCTCAGCTTCAGACCCGGCCCACTGAGCTGTGGTACAGCGACTCTCTCAGCAGTCCCAAAAGTGAAACATCCTCTATTTCAACATGTGGAAGACCCATCAGCCAAGACTCCACTGCTGCCCAGACAACGGGAGACGATCCCTCGGAGTCAGTGGGTGCTCTGCTGAGTGACCTCTCCAAGGCCTTGCAGGAGTACAAGGAGGCAGAGCGAAAAATCTCACACCTGGAGAAGGAGGACCTTCCCGCCCAGCGCCACCTCTGGGATCACCTGAGCAAAATCCGCAGCGAACTCTCCCACATACACCAGGCGCTGGAGAGGACTGCATGCCAGAGCGACGGGCCACTCGACCTCTCAGTCAAGAGGGACTCAACGAATCTGGTTGCCAACCAGGGCACAAGAGAGGATGGCAGTCTGAAGGGGAACAGCACAGAGACGGAGGAGGAGGACGACGAGGAGCTGGAGGAGAGGAGGGAGGAAGAGGAGGATGAGAGCGAGAGGAAGGCGATGAAGGCCTCGCTGGAGAGTCGCAAGCAGTCGCTGGACATGTTGATCAAGATGAGTCAGGCAACGGTGGTAAACACAGAGGTTCTGTCTCCGGGTGGACTCGGCATCAGGCCCAGTCCGGCTGAGGCCTTATGGCCGAGCAGAACAACAAAGTGTGAGGCAGACTCCAGCGTCCTGCTCTGCCCCGACGGCCGTTCAGTGGTGTTCACCGACATCCCGGTCTCTGCAAAAACCTCAAAGAGACCCCCGTCTATACAGCGGCTGGAAGCTCAGTGTCCTCCGAGCCCTCTGACAGCTACTGACAACTAATCCTCTGACTGTAATATAACTGATTCTGTCCACAAATGCAGTTATGGTTACCAGCATGCCTTTGAGTATCACTGGCTGAACAAGGATGGTCACTATTATTCTCAGTTTACCTTCACAAAAAAGAAACGTATGGCACCTTATAAGAAAAATGAATCATAATTTGGAAGAGAAGGATTTTAATGCACTAAGAACATTGATTGTTATGATAATATTCTCCAGAAATTAATTTTCAAAGGTAACATCAGCACGGAAATGATTAAGTCCATTAAAATGATGCTGTGAGACAATCCTTTGAATGGATTTGTAAATACTGTATTTACCATACATGTAAGTAAAATGTTTTTAAAGTGTAAATGGTTTTATATGGAGGATGTCATGTGAGGCTGGATGAAAATAAAATGTATTATACACACACTGTATTTCTTTGAAATTAAATGAGAAAAAAAACAGTGTTTCAGTCTTTTTAAAGAAAATTGGGAAACACAAGAAATAATAGATTTGGATCAGATTGTGTAAATTGACATTTTCTACAATTTTGTTGGAATAAGAATTTATCACTTTTAAAAAGACAGTGAGGTTAAATCATCACTTCCATGAAAATTTAGAGTCTATATAAAAAAAAAAACAGATCCACAGTGGCAGCTCCACTCCTCCTCTAGTGGCCCTGACAGAGTCGGGTGGCGATGCTAAAGGTGAACTAGCTCCTCAAGCTAAGTCCCCGTCAGTAGACTCACCTGTGTCGCTGCTCCTGAATCCAACAGACCCCCTGCAAAGGTCAGGGACCCCGGATGCCCGAGCTGCACACTTGTCTGCCCCCAGGAGGGGCCCCCAGCGCTGGGTGCTACGTCCTCTGGTCCCTTCACTCTCTCACACAGTCGAGATGCAGCTGCAAAGGTCAGCTGCCAGGACCAGAAGAGCCACGACGGGACGATGAGCCTGAAGACGTCAAAGCACCTTTTACTTTATTTCTTTGATTTACATTTGACATGGGAAATATCCTAATTATTACAAATAATCATAAAAATAAGCCTCTGATCTCAAATTAATTTTGAAATTAATATTAACAATCAATTCTAGTCATGATGAATATCTTAATATGATCTTAAAGTTACTAGTTAGTTTATGAGCAAAACACCAGGCAGGACAGCAGCATTGTTATGTATTATAGCTGAAGTGAAGCCAGGACCTGCTGAGAGCGCCCTCCTGTGGACAAAAGATTTGAAAGCATCTGAGTTTCACTAATTTACTTTCAGCAGCATTGATTCACAGATAAAAGAAAACGCAAAAACAAAGACTGAAAGATATGTGAAATGGAGATACTGAAGTAAAATAAAAGTATCTCAGATTTGTTCTGAGGCAGTGAATGTTCTGAGACGTTCTTAAGATTCATTCACAAGGCAAAAGAGGTCACTGTGACTTTGACCTTCGACCATCAAATTGTGATCTGGATATCTTCACTTTTTTATTCAGGTTTCAAATATACTACAAATAATAAATAAATGTACGTCATAATGAACAACCGGAAAACATAACACCTCAGGCCACAGGCTGTCGCTGGCAAGAAAAATTCTACTGCAGGATTTCCAAACACTTCATTTATTTGACGTTATACATTCAAATGAAAATAAA